TGCAACTGGACCCGTAGAAACACACTCAACTCCCCTCCCCCTTCACGAGTTGTGAGTCAATGGTTGGCTCGCAACTAGGAGCCCTCGACAAACACATATTGAGAACGCCCCCTCCCCCTAGTTGCGAGTCGATGGTTGACTTGCAATTGGGAGCCCTCGACAAACACACACATCCTTAGTCGCGAGTCGATGGGTGACATGCAACTCGGGATCGCGACAAACACACATAGAAACCGCCTCCTAGTTGTGGGTTGATGGTACAACTTCAGTTGCGAGTCGATTGTACACTTGTAACTAGGGCCACCGACAAACACACATACACCACCCCCTCCTTCTCTAGTTCCGAGTCGATGTTCTTCAGATTTCGAAACAAAAACAAACGGAAAAATGGAAGAACATGGGAGGGGAACGGGACAACAGGGGGAGGGGAACATGCGAAAGGAGAGTGACATACTCGATGGAGGCTACCGTATCGATCTAATATACTCTGGGGCTAGACTCTTCGTATTCTAAAAAAATCCCATATCAAACCAAGGCGACGGCGGCCCAACAAGAAAAATAAAAATAGTCACCCTCCGTTGTAGGCCTCCCAGCCCGACAAGACGATACGACAGGACACGGATCGATCGCGACTAGTGCGATCACTCGACCGTGAAAAACAAAGCACAAACAAATCAAACGGCTAGAAATAAAACTGATGTCACAAAAAATAATCAATTTTAAAAAATCATAAATTACAAACAAATAATTTAATAGATAAAGGAGAAAAAAGAAAGTGAAAAATAACGCGGCCCGGCTCTTTGAATTCTGCCCATACAAAAAGGCCTAGGCGCAGACAAAAAAAGCAAAAATGGCAGACCGCACCAATGTATATAACAAAATATAAAAACCCACATACTCAGATCCCATACAGGAAAAGGAACAAGGCCGATCGGGAAAACAGCAAGGACACTAGTGCGACACGGGCCTTAGCGACAACAAAAACAACAATTCACGTCAAAGAAAACAACAACAATTTGCATAAATCTTAAAGCCCATGATCATGTGATAAACAACTTAGATGTGACATCCTTAAAAAAAATCTATATGTGATTTAGTCATTCTGTTTTGTATTTATTGTTCTACAATCACGAGGTATCGGTGGACAGCTCAGATTTCACGGTGTGGCGCCGGCATGGGCACCTAGTGTCTTCTCCGCGCCACGCGCGTCCTAACTACTGTAGTTCACAAATACAAATGGAACCTCGTCGCTTCTACTCCTATTACGCGCAGGCAGGAGCCTTGAAGCCGGTGAACCTGACGAACGCGATGGAGTGGGGCTCGACGTGCACCGGCGTGCACCCGTCGATGGCAATCGCCGGCCGCAGCTCGGGGATCTGGCCGCACGGGCCGAGCGCGAGCGGCTCCCCGTTGAGCACCACCACCTGGCTCTGGATGTCGCCGCCCTCGGGGCTCAGGTGGTACTCCTCCCTCCGCCCGCCGCACACCGCCGCCTCCCCGCCGCCGGCTTCCGCCTGCAGCAACCTCCGCGGCGGCGGGTGCAGGTCCATGTCGCCGGCCACCGTCACGTCGAACGCCGTCGAGTTGGACAGGTTGATGAGGAGCACCGTCACGCCAGGCTGCTTCTTGGAGCAGTGCGCGTAGGAGCGGAGGTACGGCGAGCCAGCGGCGGCGGTGGTCTGGAGGACCCCCGGGCCCATGAGCCGGTGCCAGAGCAGCGCGCTGTAGTAGTCCGGGTTGGGGGCGAGCGTGGTGGTGTTGAGGAGGCAGTAGTTTCCGCCGACGAGGGCCTGCCGGCAGTACACCTTGGTGCCGAACACGGCCGACATCCCCAGCTGGTCCAGGTACCAGAAGCTGTTGGCGAACCGGTCCGACACGTCCTTCCCGCCGCTGTTGTACGCGCCGCCGGACTCGCCCACCCACGCCGCGCTCCACGGCCCGGACTCCCGCACCGTCGCCTCCATGTCGCTGAACGTCTGCGCCACCTTGTCCAGGTAGTACGGGTCTTGCATCTTGTTGATCAGCTCCTTGTCCTTCCCTGCAAGTTCACGCAAGCAACACCCACTCGATTACGCACACGTCACCAAACATGCAGCCCGGCCGGCGACGCGTGAGTGACTCACCGGAGCCGAGGTTGTAGATGTGGTGAGTGACGGCGTCGACGACGCCGGGGCCGGAGACGCGCAGCATCTCGGAGAACCAGGGCCCGTCGTAGAAGCCCCCCGGCGCGAGGACCTTGGGGAGGTGGCCGGTGCCGTTGTACACCTTCTCCACCATCCTCCTGAGCCGGAGCACGTCCTTCCCGTACTGCGCCGCCATCACCTTGGCCTCCACGCCGCCGGCGCACAGCTCGTTGCCCAGCTCCCACGACTCCACGCGGTACCCCTTGCTCACGGTGTAGCGCATCAGGTCGCGCGCGTTGCGGCCGTCCCAGCCGCCGACGTGGAGCGTGCTGCCGTTCTCGGCGGACTTGCGCCGGCCCCTCAGCGCGTTCAGCCCGAACGTCACCGTCGTGCTGATGCACGCAGATCAGATGTGAACTTGGATTCTTGTAGCCATGAATTGATGCATGGTTGCATCAGAGATGTGGCAGGCATGCATGATCGCTTACTTGGTTCGCCGGAAGAAGATGTTGAGCTCGTCCCAGCGGTTCATGGCGAGGCAGCCGTCGGTGAAGCCGAAGAGGTGGTCGTCGTTTCGCCGGAAGCTGGGGCAGTCGGCGTAGTGCTTGCCAACTTTGTACGTGATCTGGTCCTGCAGCGATCCTCCGAGCCTAATCCGCAACGAGTTGAAGGCTGCCATGCAAAGATGGAACCATCATGTCGATATGGATCATGCATCATAGTACAACATGTGCATGCATGCATGCACTGATCGATCAATCGAACCAATGATAAATTCATATATCAATCTCAAAACAACCAAGTTAATTTTCTATTTATTTCACCTTTGACAGCATTGTACAGGATAGGGCTGTAGAGATCCTGCAGGCAATTAACCCCGATGCAAAATCAGTAGGATTAAAGGTATGTGCAAGACGGCATGCAATTAACCATGCACATACGAAAATGTCGGGCTAATTTAAGTTACCAGGTTGATGATGGAGGAGTTATGCCAGGGGCACATGCCGTAGTTGCACTTGTCCCTGGGCCACCAGTCGAGCGTCGCGCAGATGAAGTCGTCGTCGGTGTGGGAGATGGCCGTCACCGCCCTCACCGACACGGTCGCCTTCTCGCCCCCGGCGGCGACGGCGTACGGCGCACCGGATAAGACGAGGATGCAAAGGAAAAGGGTCCCGGCAGCTTGAGCGGCCATTGGAGAAGGAATTCGTGCTCGGGAGAAATGGTGCCACGCCGGTGCCTTCGATGCTGACGGTTATATGCGTGGAGCTATATATGAGAACTCGGAGTGAAGTCAGCCCAGGAAGCAATAGAATAGGGCTTTGCGTTGCAGAAGGGAGTATGGATAAGTACTGCGTAGCACACGAACAGGACGGTTTGTTAGTGTGTGTGTGTGTGTGTTTGTTTGTTTTTCGCATGGGAGAGAGTCTAAGTAAGAAAAAGTCGCCTCTTCGACAAAGATACTTCCAGCACAATCTGCGGTAAGCCCAAAACGTTCGCAACCGACGAATAGCGTTAGTAAAATCCATGGCCGGCGCTAGAGGAAAAGATTGGCCTTTGCATAAGAGTAGTCTGATTGCACATAGATCAGCTGACCAATGATTTACAGGGTTGAACTTAAAAAATGATTTACAGGGTGGATTTTCAGGCACGTTTTTTATTTTTATAACAAATTCGGATATATAACATAGGGAATGACCTAAATCGGAAATATCAATTATATGACCCTGTCGGCCTCCCGTGGGCAAAAAGGACTTTTTGGTCTAGTCAAAGCTAAAGTAGGTTTTGTTCGCACACGAACACGTCACCGTATACCTCCAACGCCGAGGGTGATGCACCGCAGCTCGCGTCGAAGGAGATCTGACCGGCAGCGCAATACGCAGGACAACCGGCAGATGCTTTTGTGGACCCGAAACCCCACACGCCCGGGAGTGACCCCGTCAGGGCTTGCGGCGGCTATGGGCTGTCCTAGGTCGACCTGATCTCCCCTAGGGCCTCGAGGTTCGCCGCCCTGCAACAAGAAGAACAGACGAAGAACGAGGAAGAAGAAGAACTAGGGTTAGGGAGAAAAGATAAAAGATAAAAAGTGGTAGATGATTTGATCGATTGTGTGTTGTTCAATGGGCCGTCACCCCTTAGATATATAAGAGGCGGCTGGACTCCCCGTGCAAGGAAAAGGCTTGGATTCACGTCCAAAACCCTAGTCAAATTCGGATTGGTTTTATCCGAACTTTCCAAAACGGTTCGGTTTAAACTGGCTGCACCTTGCGGGTCTTTTTTTGTGGTGGTAAACCATCTCGGATGAAAACAAGCCCAAAAGTAATCTTGACCGTTTCGACGAGATGAACAACTTTCATGTTGAAGGTTTTTTGATCAGAGGTCATCTTGAGGGTTAAATCGGTCGCGCAAAACAGGCTATTCCCTCGCGCTACCCATCAGACATGTGTTTGGTGTGGCGCGTCACATCTCGCCTCGTGACAGGGCTGCACTCCAATTACTCTAACTTTTGCATACGAACTCGGATTTGGATGATTTTTATATCAAAATCGATCGTTTCGACGAGACGAAGACAACCCGTGTAGATCATTTTTCCATTTGAGGTCGTCTTGGGGCCTAATCGGCCAAAATATACTCTGAATATAAGATCTTTGTATTTTGAGCATAGTTTCGGCCTTCGAGATGAAATCAGACGGTGATGACCCAAACTTCAATAATGTTCATATCAATAATACGGAACTCTTCCATGTAGATCACTTCTCCATTTAAGGCCATCTTAAATAAGTTCTTGACCGTGCCAAAATCTGGCGTCAACACATGCCCCCCTGTTTTCGGCAAAAGCTTGTGTGCCGAAAAATAACTTGCACATAGCTTGCTCTAAGGACGATGTCAACACTACATCGGCCATTTTGCGTATGCTTAGGACGATAAGTTTATATCAGCCATTGCTTGTGTGAATATTTTGATGCAAGCTTGGGTGACTTTCTCAACTTCATTAATCCGACTATAAAGTTCCATAGGTATGCATGTCAAGACCATCCATCAACCATATTGTCCACCCTTCTGCTAGCATCTTGCAGATAATCAACAATGAACTTTCTCGAATCCTTACTTTGTTTGCATAAATGTTTCATTAGTGGCCGAGGTAGTGAGCTCCAATTCGGCCTTACCTATGTTGGCAAGAATAAGCATCGGCTATTGATAGATATGCAATACACCAGGACGGACATGGTAGCCGGATGCTTGCTATGCCAACTCTCTTCAATTGACATGTCTAAATATATGAACAATTTTAATGCAACCCAAGGTAAATTTTATATCTAGACATACCCCAAAATAAACTATAAGTGATTCGTCAAAAAATTGATTACCCTTCGATATTTGTTGTACTACTCATAACGAATAACCCAAAGCCTCAATATGTAGAGCACCTATGGCAACCAAAAGCTCCAAACCGAATAAAATTTTATATTCGGCTTTGATTATTGTGAAAAAATATTTTAAGTGGCATGATGCTTGTTTTGGTCTCCAATTGAACTAAGGACGGTGTTAGGATACTACACCAGCCATGCTTTGATATATTCTTAGGGCGATAGATAAATATCGGCCATTAGCATGAGGTCCACGTTGAATTTACCCACCAAATTATGTATAGCCGAAATAAACAAATAAAATAGGAATAAAATATTTCGGCCCCTTTGTATTAGCAACAATGTAACTAACCATATGTATAGTAATTTGGTAATACCCTCTCATGATATAGAAAATTATGTTGCGTCCATGGATCAAAATAAATCCATGAAGGGTAACTGATCATACCTAGGGATGAATTCCATGGTAAAGGCATCAACGGTTGTAACGCCCGGATAATCGTGCTACAGTAATCCAACGCTAATCATGCCATGTCACCACGGTTACTGTTGCTAACCTATCGCTAGTTCAAAAGCGATTCAAATTCAAATTTAAAATAAGGTTAAATAATAAAAGTTTTTAAAAATTAAAACAAAATTGTTCGATGTGTGCAAATAAATGCCTAGGAATTTATGGTGTAGTAAACACATTTTTATAAAAGGCCTAAATAGTTTAAAATGATTTAAAATAGAAAAGTAAATAAATAAAAGAAAAGAAAATACAAAAAACTAAACTAAGAAAAAGTGCTCCTAGCCCAACTGGGCCAACCGGCCCAGCTGGCCACTTCCGACGGCCCGGTCGAACCGACCCAGCCGGCCGCCCCTTATTCCCTCACCCACCGAAACCCTAACCTAACCCACTCCCCACTCGCCCCCTCCCACTCCCGCACGTCTCTCCTCCACCCCCCCATCGATCCCGATCTGGATCGGGAAAAGGGGCGGCTCGAACGCCACCGCCGTCGCAGGGACAACGCCGCCGCCTAGGACCTCCTCGCCGGCCTGCCTCCTCCACGCCGACGTCGTCCCTGTCCACCTCCTTGACCCCCGCTGCCCGTAGCCCTACACTCCTGCGGTGAGGCGCGGCCTTCA